GAAGAGGGAACGCCCCGCCCCCGCGGTGATACCGGTATTACCGGTGTTGTCGCACGTCGATTAACCGGTGGGAAAATTTCCTCACCGTCACAACCCTAAAGTTTATTAATTATTTATTATGAAGTTCAATTCAGTGATAAGCTACGGTGACGCATTGCTGCCACACACATATTTTCTTTCCACTCAATTATGTCGTAATAACGAGATATGTCGTTTTACTGACATCTTTTCTCGTTAAAACGACATCTTTTCTCGTTTTAACGACAACATAACATCTCGTTATTACGACATAATTGAGTGGAAAAAATAATATGTGTGTGGCAGCAATGCGTCACCGTAATAAGCAGCTTAACTGAAGGCAGTAGTTTTGTTGTCCAGCTTGAGTCAGTTTAATGTTGATTAAATCCAGTTCATGTCGATGTTGTAAAATTAATCAATTATAAACAAATTCGATTCAGCAGTAAATCAGCTTGATGTGATTTACTTCGATTTGCTGCAATGACATTACTGAATATTAAGTGTCCCAACTAAGCATTAAGCAAGCCAAAAGGTAAATAATTTTTTTAATTAATTAAATGTATATAAAATTGTAATTACAATTACAACCCCAATTCCAGAGAAGTTGGGACATTTTGTAAAATGCAATAAAATCAAGAATCTGTGATTTGTTCATTCTCTTTAACTTTTATGTACTTGACAAAAGTACAAAGAAAATATTTTCAAAGTTTTCACTGACCAACGTAAATGTATTTTGTAAATATGAACAAATTTTGATGGCTGCAACACATTCCAAAAAAGTTGGGGCAGAGGCATGTTTAACACTGTCACATCAACAACAATCAGGAATTGAGGATACTGTAATTGTTAAAGTCCTGCAAGCAAAATTTGTGTCCAATCTGGCTTGATACAAGACTTCAGAAGCTCCGCAGTCTGTGATTGTTGTTGTCTGATTCTCCTTTTCATGATGAGCCATACATTTTCAGTAGGAGACAGATCTGCTGGCCAGTCTAGCACATTCATTCTATCTACAAAACCATGCTGTTGTAGCACATGCAGAATGAGAGCTGGTATTGTGTTGATATAACAACCATGGACTTCCCATGAAAGACATCTTGATGGCAGTATATATCTCTGTACAATCCCAGTATATGCCTCCATGTCAATGGTACCTTTGCACATATTCCAGTCATCCTTGCTGTTTGCTCTGCTGCGCCCCCATACCGTGACAGATGTTTGCTTTCGCTTCTGTCACTAATGAAAGTCTGGATGGTCCCTTTGGTCTTTGGGACTGAGAACTCTAAATCCATTTTTCCCGGAAACAAGTTGAAATTGTGGACTCATCTGAGTACAGCACACATTTTCACTGTCTTTTTGACTACCTGATGAGCTCTGGCCCAGAGAACCCGGCAGCATCGCTGCATAGAATTGATGTATAGCTTTCTCCTAGAGTAACAGATATTCAAGTTGTATTTCTTGATGCAGCAGCAGACTGTGGTAAATGACAGTGGTTTTCTGAAGTACTCCTGAGCCCATGTGGCTATATTTAACACTGCAGCATGACGGTTTCTTATGCAATGCCATCTGAGGGCTCAAAGGTCAAGCACATTCAACTGAGGTTTCCTGCCTTGCCCTACATGTACTGTGATTTCTCTGGATTCCCTGAATCTTTTCACAATATTATGTATGGTACTTGGTGAAAGACAAATTTCTTTGCAATTTTGCATTGCGAAATGTGATTTTTGACACTTCTCTCGTGAAATTTGGCACAAAGTGATGAGCCATGATCCAGCTTTGCTTGCAAAGACTGAGATGCTCCTCTTATACCCAAACATGATACCTTGACCTATTACCAATTCACCTGCTTACTGTGAACTGTTTCAAAACAGTTTACCGTAGATATTCTATAACCTTTTCACTTTTATTTTGCCTCTGTCGCATCTTTTTTGGAATGTTGCAGCCATCAAAAACAACATTTGTTCATATTTACAAAATACATTTACGTTGGTCAGTGAAAACTTTGGAAATCTTTTCTTTGTACTTTTGTCAATTAAATAAAAGTTAAAGAGAATTAACAAAACACAGATACTTGATTTTATTGCATTTTACAAAACGTCCCAACTTCTCTGGAATTGGGGTTGTATTTCAAACTGTCAAAAAATGTCAGGGTGATACATTTGTTATTATATTACAATAAAAAAAAAAAAAGCCTTTGGGGAAAAAAAAACGTATGATATTTTATTATTATTTCTAATAATAACAAAAATGTTTTAACAAACATTTGTTTTAACAAGTCATGTGTTCCAACCAACAAAATTCATAAGATTTGACCAGCATGTAGAAAAAGAAGTGATAAAACTAATATCATAGAGAGGAATCCTGGGGGCAAAATATAGATCTATAAATATAAATACATTACACTATTTTATATATTTTTGGTATATGTTTGATATTTTAGAGTCATTCATTTGACAGCCTGCTTGAAAATGTAAGAAAGTTTTTCAAAACCATATGAAAGCAACATTTCTGTGGACCTGGCATGTTTACATTTTCTCTCTCCTGTTTGCAGCTCTCTTTCCCAGCCTCTGGAGGTGCTAGAGCTGCCATACCTGTGCCTGACCTCCACTGACCTGGCCTACCTCTCCTGCAGCCAGCATGCTCCATTCCTGAGAGAACTTGACCTGAGTGAGAACTGGCTTGATGAATCGTCCCTGCCCTCTCTGCGCCGTCTCTTAGCTCAAGCCGAAAGCTCTCTGCGCCAGCTTTCACTTTGTGGTTGTGGCCTCTCAGACACTCTCCTGGGTGCTCTTCTTCCCTCCCTGTCTTGCTGTCGGGCTTTACGTAGCTTAAGATTGGCCTTAAACCCGCTCTCTAGAACGGGAATGCTTTCCCTGGCCCGTACAGCGGCAGGAATCCCTTCTCTTCGTCTGCTGCTCTATCCCAACCCACTGGAAGAATATGAGCCTGGGCTGCCGGCTCTCCCCTCCAGTGCGCAGCTGCTGGATTGGCCTCTGCTAGAGGAGTCTGAGGGCAGGGACATGACGCTGAGGTTGCTAGATGAGGTTCTGAAATTGAGAGGACGATCCCGGGACCTTCTTGTGACCTCCGACCTTCTAAACTATAGCCCAGACTTGACTGTGGATGATTAGGGGGTGAATGTCCCAAAGCTCACTCTCTTATAATGTGTGACAATCAAAACTATGCTTAAACTAGTATTTTCAGATTATGTTTTAACCACTCATGGGGAATTACTTGTGGTTGCCAAGCTTTTTCAGTAATAGCAAACCTTATACTGCTTATACACAGTCATATAAAAAGTCTTGCTAGTGGAAACCTTAGCATTATATTGTATGCAGCTTCTCACATGAAATGATTTTGAATTTGTATTTGTTTGCTGTGTTATGCGTAATGTATGGGTTTTATTGCCTTAAATCGTACTGTAATAGGGCAATGTTTATGGCAAGCACCAACAGAAGGAACAAAGACACCTCTTCATTGTTTTTTAAACAAAACTTGTGTTGGCTTTTCTATGCTACCAAAAAATATAGCAGCCCATTTTTTTTGTTTTATTTTGGTGTGAATAGTTAAAATGTTCAGGTTCTATGGTGTAAAACGCTTTTCAATCTTATCTGCTTTCTCACAAGTCTAATTTAATCTGACAGTGTTCAATGTCTCATGAAGGAAATCAAGACCTAAAGGGAAAATTTACTGGAAAAGGAAAAACTCGCCCTCAAGTCATTCCATATAATCTATATGATTTTATGACTTCATAAAAAACATTTAGACAGAATTTCCATTTCTAGTTGAACTATCCTTTGATGACTATGGTGTTTAATTAATGTTCACAGACACAGAATTTAACAGGGTTCCCATGCAACCCAAAAAAAAAAAAAAAGTAATTTTGCATTGCAGTTTTTCGACATAATTATTTGTCCTGGAAAATATTTTAATACTTAATTTAATTTAATTTAATACTTTAATAATTAATTTTTATTTTGTACAAATTTGTATTATTTTGCCACTGTCAGTGGTTGCGCAGTGTAAAACATCGTCAGAAGGCTATATTGAATGAAGAAGCCCTGTCGTATACAAGTATTATTGTCTTGGTACATTTACTGTCATTTTCTTATTTCTTAAGTATTAATATACTGCAAATCGAATCTCGTGATTCAATCCAATTCCAAAACTTTTCTTGAATATTCTTAATACTTTTCTTTTCTCTCTCTGTATTAACTATTCTTCTGTGCAATGGTGTGAATTTTCACTGCCCTCACAATTTGATTTGATTACAGTTCAGAGGGTAATATTTTGATTACAAAATGACCCTCGATGCATCACATCCTCCATAAAATAATTTAAAAAATGGAATAATCGCAATTAATTAATCTATTTATTTATTTATCCATCTGTCTGTCAGGTAGAGGGAGAGGATTAGGTTAGAGTTGTTCAAACAGTATATCATGCCATCATTTGACCCCTTTATCCATCCTAAGGCCAAAATACCAATGCCATTACCAATACCTATACAGGTTACTGGGCTGCACAGAACCGTTTTCACACCATTTGTAAGCCTTGCTTTCCAAGGCTTGCTCTGCATGGGGTCAGCCTGTGTTTCGTTGCTGCTCCGCACAACACAACTTCCCCAGCGCTCATGAAGGTGTCATGTAAAGCAAATTGCTTTTCAAAGCACCAGCATTCACTCTGTATATCCTTTCACAATAAAACAAGCCATATGTCTCAAACATTCAACTGTCAAGTATGTACTAAAAGACTTCAAGATGATAAAGTTAGTTTGATCATAGATTTGTGTCATTTGATGCATCATAGAGACAGTCTATCACAGATTTAATGCAATGCTTTTGGAAATAACTATCTGTAATATTGTACGTAGGAGCGTTCCAGGAAGAAGTATCTTTGTGGTGAGGGGCGTTTGAAGTTCTGAAAATCCAGGGAAAAGGGGAATGGAGAAAGTGTGACATGAGCCATTGGTAGAGAGAGGAACCGTGGGAAATCCATCAACACAGGTCGATATGGCAATGGTGGCAGCAGATGTCCTGTTGGTTTATAATGAAGATGACTGGATAAAACAAAACCTTGGATACAGTACAGTATACTAAATTACAGTATAGCACAGACATCAACACTGCAGAGTGAAAGAATCATTTCCATATTCCTTTGAGGCTGCTTTTCTGCATAAGTTAGATTTCCACTTGAACTGAACATTAGAAACGAACTCCTTAACATCTTTTAGTGCCACAGGCATAACAGATTGATAGCTGTGTTCAACAAATGAATGCTGAAAGTCTGACTGAAATATATTCTAACCTTGAGGCTCCCGTATCCTAGACATGCTGTACGTCTCTCCCAGGCGCTGAATTGGCTTCAGTCTAAACAAAAACAGATACATTTCTGATCATTTTAAACACAGACAACACTTATTTTAAAGAGCATTCCTTGGTTATGCAAACTATTTAAACAGATGCATTCAGTATTTTATATGAGGATCTTTTTGAGGTTGAATAGGACAAATTTTGCTGGTTTTCTTTAAACATTTGTTCATCTTATTTCTGAACAGACTAGAGGGAAAAAACTTTGGATTTGAATGTAAGGTTCTTGAGATAAATTTGCAATACATTTTAAATACGCTCACTAAAAAATATACAACAGACAAAACCAAATGATAGTGGGAGTCCCTGTATTTGTATGACACACCTAGGCAAGTCTGAAGGCACGATGACAGCATCTTTCCTGCCCTCTGGTGGAGGTGGTGGTGGTCGAGTCTGTTTGCCTTTTTGCACAGAGCAGAAATATTTGAGCACCTCCACAGGTGCGAACACACTCTGTATTCCTTTACTGCGTAGGAACACAGACCCACTGTGCACCTGTGAAGCACAATACAAATACAATTCAAATAAAATACCTCAAAAATATCTCTACCAATCTGATATCTGCTCCATACCTTGTACTTTCTGGTCCAGGTAAGCAGCCAGTGGCTGGCCATGTCTCGAAGACTGTGGTGCTGGTTAGGCTTTTGCTTCGTCAGGGAGTTCCAGGACTCTAATTCTGGACATAACCACAGTTCAGCTTCCTCCACACCCAATCTTTGCAGCACACACAGTACTAAAGTCCTGCCAGAGATATAATAATAGAATGGTTAATTCCTGCATATATATAATGGCAATTGGGTGTCACTTTGTTTTTTTTTTTAAAAAACAGGTGGACAGTTTGTTAAAAGGGTCATCGGATGCAAAATTCACTTTACATGTTGTTTGAACATAAATGTGTGTTGGAAGTGTGGTACACATCCACCCTATAATGATAAAAATCCACCCAGTGTTTTTTTTTTTAATCCCTATTTTAAAATTCCCTTTCTCAAATCAGGCTGTTCTGAGCAGTAGCCCCTCACTGCAGAACACAAGATCCAGGGGGCGGAGATTGGTAGGTTTAGGGATCAGGGGGTGGAGACGGATAGGTTTAGGTATATGTAAGGTGGGAGGAGTTGGATCTGGATCCAACCACGCCCCCTGGATCTTGTGTTCTGCAGTGAGGACCACCTCGTTCTGAGATTCCTGTCTGAATGATGTAGTTCTGCGTAGGCCACTCCCACGATAGTTGATTGACACTGGTGTTTTACCTTAGACCCGCCCTGAGTGAGCTGTGAGCTGTCCGCCATTGTGTCGACTCCGGTGCAGGGGTAGACAAGAATGTCTCCTAAGCGATGGAGGTGTTTTGTTGTTGGATGTAATAATGAACATAGCAGTCGTCATTTACTCCCGACATCTGAGCCGCTGAAGACGCAGTGGATTAACGTTACTATCGTTTTTGTGCTGATGCCCGATCTGCCTAAATGCGTCTTATGTTCAGCGAATCATTCGTGATCCAGCTTCACCTACAGAAGTGGTGAGTATAAGGGTTTTTTATGAATCTTTGCAAATCACCTTTCCTAATAATGTGCTAGTTTGCAAGTTTTGCAGCTGAAGTTTACACTCTGCTCCTCACCCCACGGAAGAGAAGGGCGGGGTGAGCAGAGCTCATTAGCATTTAAAGCAACATGGACTAAAATGGCGTGCTGAAAACAGAGCTGATTTTGACAGGGTAAAGAGGGTGTTTTTTACACTACCATTGAGAAATTTTAACCAAAGTATGTTATAGGCTTTTCATTAAGAAAAGCCTATAATCATATCAACTTGTGGAAAATGGGCATCCGATGACCCCTTTAAAACTAAAAAAAACAAACATGATAGCAACTTTTCAATAACTGGGGATGTTCTGCAGTTGCTACTAAAGTAGGCCACTGAAAAACATTTACATTGTATTTTGTATTGTGTTAAACATGCAATATTCCTTACTTAAGATCAGCTTCTTTATTTGCCAACATGGCAAGTAGCTCCACAATGGTGTTAAAACCGTCAGGACTCAGATACACCAGCACATTCAGCAGCTCACCGACAAAATGCTGTTCCTCCCTTGACTGCAAAACACATATTCATACCTGTTCTTATATTGAATAAACTCATCTGTAGTGTTGACAGAGAATTCATACATCTTATATGCTCTGTATTCATACATGAAATCCAAACTTTAAAGAAGTTGCTTCCAAAATGTATTTTCAGCTATGCCTTATGGATTTATTCTAATATCACAATTTCATTTACCATGTTTTTGTAAATGTAGTTTTCCAGGCAAACCAGCAGTCCTGTGCTGAGAGATTCTTTGTCTAACACCTCCTGCTGTATTAGCATAAGTAATGCATTCAGGATGCTATTCTTCTGAGCCATGCTGCAAGTCATCATGAAGTTCAACAGATGCTTGCAGAATTCCTTGGGGCTTAAAGAACTCGAAATACACTGCAAACACATGCAAGGATAAATGAGAATGATGCATAAATTAGAAGGAGATTGAGAAGAGTATATATTTTTCACTGTTTTATAAAGAGTACGTCTGAACGGAAGAGTCCTTTTGATAGGCTCATTGTGTTTGTATTCAACTTACACTCAGATCAGGAAACATCTTTTGAAACCACTGTTCATCCACAAACTGCAGGAGGAACTCTGGCAGATGTGAGGTGGGAGAGGGTAGGGCAGAAGAGGGCGAGGGAGGGACAGAGGTGAGTAAAGGTGGGGCAGGCTTGGAGGGTGGCGTCAGAGGGGGTGTAGGACTCTTTATTGGTGGAAGGGGCTTTTGTGGCTGTAAACATAAGAGAAGAGTACAAGATGAAGAGGTTATGTGATAGCATTCCATTCTTAAAATGCAAGTGATTTATTCTGTAAGGCAAGAGTACAATCATTCCCTGCTTTAATGAGAAATTTTATGTATAAATTTGTCGGTTGGACAATTCACATAATAATATTATGTTGTTGTCAAATCCTAGGCTTACTGAAGTGCGATATCAGTCCCCTAAATGTCTTTTTAAATGTGTATTGTACTGGTTTGTACTGTGTGTTTCTTGCTAATGGACCTTGAGTCTGGAAATAAAGTTGAATTAATTGATTTATAGCCTGCAAAATTCCGCTTATGTAACCACACCTTTACGCAATTTAGTCAATCCCTACATGATTTATGTCATATTACTCAAATACATGTGACTAGAATGAACATAAACACAAAAAACATCCGAACAGGGTATATGAGTGTCTCTGCCACTGGTGAAGGTGGAAGAGGGCTCTTCTGTGTTGATGGAGTCTTTACGATGGGTGTGAGATGCATGTGAGCCTCTTCCCTCTTCTTCTTCTTCTTCTCCTCTTCATTATACAAGCGCTGCACTTCATCTAGTTCGCTCTGCTTATGACAAGCGGGAAAAAAACATTACATTATTTATTCAGTTATTTCTCCCCTCTGCGTACACACTGTGCATTCACACAAAGCCAGAATCTTATGTTGTTCAAAACCTGATAAAGATATTTTTAAGGAACTTAAAGGGATAGTTCACGTAAAAAATGAAAATTCTG